ATATATATATATATATATATATAAAGCCAGACATCTGCACATGTTGATGGATGGACTCAAATGTTCTCACCTTCTCCACAGGTGTCCTCACAGGGCCCACCCAGAGAGGGTTACTGTGCCTTCTATGAGGAGTGTGGTCGTAACCCAACTGTGGACGGTAGCCTGATTCCTCCCATTGTTCCATGTCTCAATTACAGCGCAGCCCGACACCTTACAGGAGAGCATTACAGAAGGCTCAAAGAGGTTTGTTATTTACCTGGGTTAAGCAAGCTTTAGCACGTTGGGACTGTCTGGCATGCAAATGATTAAAAAACTCTCCTTGCTGCAGGTGTGCCCCATGTTAGACAAAGGAGAAGGCAACACATATGCCTGCTGCTCCCTGGGACAACTCTCCTCTCTGGAAAGGAGTTTGAGTCTTTCCAAAAACCTGCTGGTTCGCTGCCCATCCTGTGCTGAGAACTTTGCCCACCTGCACTGTATCACCACCTGCAGCCCCAACCAGACTCAGACCTTAAATGTCACAAAGGTTATGAATGTAACGTATCTGAATGCAACGAGGGAGGTAGTGGTGGCCTACCAGGCATACATCAGCAGCGAGTTCTCAGAAGGTGCCTTTAATTCTTGCAGAAATGTCAGGATTCCATCCACAGGAGGTTTTGCCATCGCCACCATGTGTGGTCGTTATGGATCGAAGCTGTGCACAGCCCAGCGTTGGTACGATTTCCAGGGGGACACCAGCAATGGTCTGGCGCCATTGGACATTGACTTTCGGCTGATAGCGAACAATGACACTTCCGGAGTACCAGAGGGGATTATTCCTTACAGTGGGCATGCTATAGGGTGTAATGAGATCACAACAACAGGCGAGGAGGCCTGCTCCTGCCAGGACTGCCTAGAGTCATGCCCTCCTGTGCCACCCCCACCTCCACTTCCTGAACCTTTCATGCTGCTAAGTATGGATGGATATCTGCTGATATGTATAATCTTATTCTGTCTTCTGATGTTAGCCTTTTTGTTTTACCTCATTGTGTCTTGCTACGTGGAATATCAAAACAAGAAACACTATCGGACATCTAAATTAAATAAAAAAATCAAGGATGAAAACAGTAATGAAGTGGGTGAGCGCATCATCGACCCATCAGAGGTGACATGTCTAGAGAAAAATAGTTTTGCAGCTCAAGCTTTTATGAGTCGTCAGTTTCAACGTTGGGGAACCTTAATGGCTTCTTATCCCCTCATTGTAAGTAGGTCTTAAAAAATCGAAACCGTAAATAGAGAACCAAAAAAAAAAAAAAATAAATGTGTCAGACAAATATTTTTTCATCCTCATTCAAGGTTATCTTGGTGGCGGCCGTCATTGTGGCTGTTTTCGCTGTTGGCCTCAAGTCAATCCGGCTCACCACTGATCCAGTTGAGCTGTGGTCTGCTCCCAACAGCAGGGCCCGCCAGGAGAAGGACTTCCATGATGAAAACTTTACTCCTTTCTTCAGGACTAACCAGCTCATCCTGACAGCACCAGGAAGAACAGGTCACCTTTATGATTCACTGCTGTTTGGGCCGCAGAACTTTAGCGGGCTTATATCCAAAGATCTCATCATTGAGCTGCTGAATCTCCAGAGAAAAATACAGGTAACATGTCAGACGAAACATAGCTTGAAACTTGACATACCCTTCCATTAATGACAGAAAAAATCAGCTACTAGTAAAATAAGATGAAATTGACAAAAGTAATAATAAAAGAAATATAGAAAAAAATTGAATTCATGACATTAATTTGGAATATATATATATAGTATATATGTTTAGCCAGACTTCTGCACCTGTTGACACATCGGTTGGTTTACTGTTCGTGAGCAAGGAACTTTAATTTCTCTGAGACAGTTTTTCTTAGAGTTATTTTATTTTAACTAAAAACTCAAAATCAATATTTTAATTTACTGTATTATTATTTAGTACATTTGTATTTATTGGATAAATAAACACAAAACTTTTCAGTTTTGTGTTTCTTGAATTACTAGTGTGAATTTATAATTGTCTTTAATAGAAGGCTATGTTAACTTCCAAGCATAATTGTAATTGAGGCACTTTTGTCATCTAAAAGATGTCGCTTTATCTCACAGTTGCACCTTTTATTTCCTTTTTGCATTGCTCTAGGATATTCAGTTCTGGTCAGATGATTTGAACCGAAATGCGTCCCTGAAGGACGTGTGTTACGCACCTCTAAACCCATCTAACCCTTCCCTTACTGACTGTGCAGTAAACAGCCTGCCACAGTACTTCCAGAACAGTCTGGAGAATATTGATGCTAAAGTAAATATGACTGAGCTCGGAGTGACCAAGGAGGTAGACTGGAGGGACCATCTAATCTACTGCCTCAAGTATGTATTAATGTAAGCAATTGTGATGAAAAGGTCCATCAAAACGCTAAAATGTTTAAACTTTCCTCTCTACTGCCTCTTCTCAAGCTCCCCGCTCTCCTTCAAAGATATCACAGATTTAGGAATGAGCTGTATGGCTGACTATGGGGCTCCAGTATTTCCATTTCTAGCAGTAGGAGGCTATGAAGGTGAGTGTCATTATGTTTGAATGGCTTAAATTAGTAAAGCACAAAAAAAAAAAATCAACTTACTGGAAAATTGAATTAAATTCAGTTTATTTGTAGAATGCCAATTCATAACAAATGGATTCTCAAGTAAATTTAACCAAATCATACAGACAGATTGATTAAAATGTTTTTTTCTGTTAGCACCAGAAGGCCTGCACTCTGGGTGAAAAGAGCTCTGTTAGAAATATATAGAAAAGTCAGATCTCTGATGTATAATGGAGCTTGATTATTTAGGGGACTGTAAGTGAGAACAGGAATATATTTTACTTCTACTTTGGTTTTATAACAGAGTGAATGAAGGGAGGCTGAAATAGAAATATGTCTTTTTAAGAACATTAGCTGCAGTATTTTGTGGATATCCTGAGAATAAAGAATGACAACAGTCCAACCAAGAAGCAATTAATGCATGGACTAGTTTCATTATGTCATTCTTGAACAAGAATATTTCTATTTTTTTTGCAAATTTCTTAATTGAAAGTATATGATTTATAATAGATATCCTGATCAATTTAAAGACTAAACATTTAAAGTAATCAAGTTTTTTTTTTATCTTGAGACATACATGTCTGCAGTCTTTAGATATAAGTTGTTCATTTATTCATTTTGATCAAAAGGAGGTTGTTTACAAATGGCTTCAGTTACAGCTACCCTAAAAGCCTTTGGTATATTTCATAGTACTAAAGCTAATGATAATCATGAAGGGGTGACAATCTAAGGAGACACTTCCTTAAATTATTTTGCAAGGATTGGGTCCATCATACATCATGCAAGTTGAATGTGTAGAGAAATATAATACTTCTGCTAACTGAGAAAGTGCAACTAGATCAAAACCGTCCAAACATGGCTTAGCTTCAACATTTACCTCAAAATTTGCCTTGTTTATTGGGAGGAAATTGTTAATATTCAAGTTTAGCCACTGTATTAATCTGAAATATAGTACTATTTTTCTCCTCTTTTAATGATGAAAAAAATTCTGATCCAGCTTTTGAGGGGTTTTTGTATAACACAGTGCACAACTTTTCAAAATTCATAAACCTTCCACTGGAATATTTCTCCAGTTTTAAAGTGTTGGGCTTTCAGCAGACATACAGGTCTCTGACATTTAAACAGAGAACCAGCTTCCAACAAACTTCATTGTCAAGAGGGCTACAATGTCCAATGCAACCAACAGCAAAGAAGAACACTATCAACAACTAAATTTTGAAAGGAAATAAATTAAATAGCTGCAATCGTTTGTGTCTTTCTGTGATTCTGAATAGATTATGAATGGAATATATTTTTTTGTTTCTCATCATTGTTTAATAATGGCCTAATATATTTATTTAATGTAAGGGTCAAACAGAACGTTTATAAAAAGGTTTATATGTCTTTAGAAATTAAGAATATTCAAGGACAAGGTCCAAAGTATGACAACAAAGTTGGATAGGCCTGCAGCTGTTTTGAGCAACGCTAACATTGAAGGCTGCATTTTGACTATCATCATTGTCAACATGAGAGTTAATATCCTCAACTAAAAATGAGAAGAATTTGACTCTTTTATACTAACATAATCATCTTGCTGAATACAGGTTTCCAGAGACAAAATAAATATATCACAAATTAAGTCATTACTTAATAGTCTTCAAAGAGAGATATCTATTATTTAATGAAGAACTTTTAATTGCTTTAAGTTTCTAATCAGATATAGCCTCATGCTATAGGATTTCCATGATTTTATACTTTCAGAGTAGTCTATAGCTTTTTCAATAACATTGCACATTTGTTTCTTTCCAGATGATGGATACACCAACTCTGAAGCCTTCATAATGACCTTTTCTCTCAACAACTATGGTCGTGACGACCCCAAATTTAAAGTAGCCTTGCAGTGGGAAACAGAATTTCTCAAAATTGTCCAGGACTACCAAAGAAGCCCAGAATGCAAATTTACTTTCGCATACATGGCTGAGGTAAAGTGAACCCTGAGACTTCCATAACTCTACCTCGTGTTTTCTAGTCTTGTATCAGCATTAGAGATAATGTCAGGGCTGTCCCTGATTAGGTGTTATCATTGACATGCCAGCGATCTTTTACCTACTGGCTATAACTACCTCCTATCTTTAAAAGAGACTGATATCAGCAGTTTTGATGATAAAGTAATTCTGCAGGACCTGTCACTTGCAAGGGCAATAAGTTCGCTCCACTATCATTATTTTCTATGCCTTGTTGCAGCAAATTTTATCACGTTGTTTTACATTTTCTTTCTATTCCTAAAGAGGTCCCTGGAGGATGAAATTAATCGAACGACAGCAGAAGATATTCCCATCTTCATGATCAGCTATGCTGTGATCTTTGTTTATATCGCAGTGGCACTGGGGGAGTACTCTTCATGCAAACGCTTACTGGTAAGACTATGGAAAAAAGGCCTGGATAAGTCTATTGTCAACACAGTAGAGTACTTCAGCATCACATGTCATTTTTTAGTTGCTAAAACAACAAATATTAGACAAAATACAACAGAAACGTGCAAAACTATTAAATTACACATGAAACCTCAATTTTACCTCCTACTGGTCTACGTTGATGTCTTAATTGAAACTTTAGATAATAATACAAGCTTAGTTCATATTTTAAAATGTAACCTAAATTACACAAAAATCTTGATTAATAGAAATGTGAAAAGTATTGTTTAATTCTCTATTTAGCCCCCTTTACTCTTGTGCCCATGAATGAAATTCATTGCAACCACTTGTCTTCAAAAGTCACCTTTATAGTAAATATTAAAAAACTCATCTGAAGACACCACAAGTATGTTTGAGGAATTGTAGAATTCCTTAAAGAGAAACGGGAATTCATAAATGTCGGACACTTACACAAAAAAGCTGAGATATTTACTGTTTGTAACAAATAGCTCAAGTCCAGTAAACAAAAATAAAAACCTGTAATATTTTTATTATTTTTATCACAAATATGTGGGTTTTAACCTTCATCCTTACATTGCCTATACCACACAAAAAGCAGTTTATTGCATAGAAAAAAACTTTGTTGTATTTTTCACAGCAAGACATGAGTAAAATATATTTATTCCCAAATATCAAACTTTGGAAAATCAGTAAAAAATAAGGACTAGAGTTTAACAAGGAAATTGATTATTTTCAAAAGACAAATTTCATAGTATTTTACAAACCCACAACTAAAAATTAAGACACTTCATATTATTGTTATTGACGTATCATAACTGGTTTCTTATGAAATAAGTAATTGCCTATAGTTAGCTTAGCTATTATTTTTTAAATTAAAATTAGGGTTGGAAAACTAAGTAAACACAAACTAACAAACATGAAAAAAAACTTCTGTAGGGAATTTAAAATAGACGTTTTGTTTTATTATTTGCATATTTAGGATTTTACTTTAAATAAAAGTATTATTAGTGTGCATCTTTTTTACTCATGAATAAAGCTAAAAGCATTAGAAACAAAAATTCAAAGTGACGTCTTCAAGGTTCTTGCACCATCAAAGAAAAGGACGAGCCGTTAAGTTGATGCAACCAATTTGGTATACTGCTCAAAGTCCATCCTGATCCGAGCCCCACTTACTGTAACATGCTGGTGAAAATTCTCAGTCATCCAGGTCATAGTCATTCCAAAAAAAAGTAAAAGAAAAACAATCCACTGGACTTTGTTTCCAAGTTTGAAGACTTTTTGCTTCCCATGCAGGAAGTTTTATAGCATGTACCAAAAACAAAGCCTTGTTTTGGCTTAGAAAACATGCAAATTGAACCAGACAAAAGGGTCCGCCTCTTAAAAATGGGCAGTTCGGGTTCATGTGTGGTTCTTAGAGCCATACATGAACAGCCCTGTTCAGCCAGGCCAACAATTCCCCCTAATGGCCCCCCTTTCAGTGATATAGACTGGTATGGGGTATTGCAGGCAAACAAAGAACCTAAATGACTGCAAATTCTTAACGGGCGGACCCGTTCATCCGGTTCAATTTGCATGTTTTCTAATCCAAAACAAGGCTTTGTTTTTGGTCCACTACATAAAACCTTGAACTCAACGCTATTTCTGTATTGAATTGAAAAAGCTTCATGGATAGAAAGCGAAAACGTCTTCAAACTTGGAAACAAAGTCCAGAGGATTGTTTTTAACTTTTTTTAAACACTTACTGTAATCCCAACCATTCATCCCAACACAGGATTCAGTGTCAATATAGCTTATATTTCAGGAGAAACATGTTGGTAAAAAATAAAAGATTGCTTAAACCCTCGCCTTATTTTCTCATTTTATTCATATAAAAACATGTTTTTTCTTCCACTTCACACATTTGATAAATTTTCTTTAGATCTTTAAATTGCGATATTAAAAACGAAATCAACCAAAGAATCATCACAACCGACAAAAAATATAATCTCTGAATCTGTCTTTCTTCTTGCAAATTAAGACATCTATCCCAGAAGGACAGAATCGGTTTCATAATAATGCAATCAGAACCTCCTCTATTTGTGAACATGAGTTGGAAAATATTGCTATATTGAAAGTAGAGGTAAGGCAAGGCAAGGCAAGGCAAATTTATTTGTATAGCACAATTTAGTACAAAGACAATGCAAAGTGCTTTACGTGATTAAAATATAGGAATATAAAGCATAACCAAAGCAAGTAAGAAAGAAAAAAAAAAAAAATAATAATAATAAAAAGGTAGACCCATACATCAGCCAGCGCATGTTTGTGGCCAAAATTTGCATTCTTGTTTCTTCCTCTTCTATCTGTATTAGCCGATACATTTATCTGTTAGCCTTTGCCGTTGTCTCCATTTGAGATGCATTGTTGTTGTTTTTTTTTTTTTTTTATTTGTTGATAAAAGTTTCTTTTTGTTTATATTGAGACTTCTGTAACTTGTTTCTTATTGTGTCATTTTTACTATATAAATGGAGGAAAAAAAGTGCTATCGACTAAGAATCGGCCCAAAAAATAACAGCAGAACACATCAGCGATTGGATAGACCAGGGGTTTCCGAAATTGCAGGGACAGTCCCTGGGAAGCTTTGTGATTAAAGGAAGTTTGAGTTGTTTATGTGATTACAATAGGTAAACTACTGTGTTTGACTTTTCTATGTGAAGCTTTTGAAAAGGACTCAATGGAGGTGAGAAAACTTGCTTGTGAACCAAAGGGATTCCAAGCAAGTGAAGCATAGGAACCACTGGATTAGACTGATGTCAAAATAATCTGTATCAGAATCAGCCCGAAAAAAAATGAATCGGTCAATCTCTAATTGGAACATCAACTATTATGGACTCATTACTATTCATCATTCATCACTATTTGAAGATATCCGATCGGTTAATGATCTACGCTTCACAATTTGTTATTCCTGTTTAGCACACTAGAAAGAGGTTATTATTGTAGCTGATTTATAGCTTAATTACTTTGGTTGTTTTGCATTGAAATGGGCCTTTGGCAAAAAGAAAGAATTGATGATAAGGTGCTTATCAGGTCCAACAATAACAGCACACTTCCACAGTATGCACGTATCAGCTACATGGTGCTTATCTTTAGTCTAGAACAAATATTGGAGGTATACTATTAATGATTTGTAATAAAAACTGTGAAAAGAGACATTTTTGTTGGAATTAAGTATATGTGTTTGTCCCGCAGGTGGATTCAAAGTTTTTAGTGGGTTTAGGAGGAATTCTGGTGGTGGTCTGTTCGGTTCTGGCCTCCATGGGTTTCTACTCATGGATTGGGATCCCATCCTCGCTGGTCATTCTGCAGGTCGTGCCTTTCCTGGTGCTCGCTGTTGGAGCTGACAACATCTTCATCTTTGTTTTGGAGTACCAGGTGTGACTGTCGTTCTGCACCAGGAATCTGCAGCATTGTTGCCAACTAAAGTTTAGATTTTTCATATTAGTAATGTTACATTTCCATTTCATCCTTGCAGAGGGATGTAAGGGAGATGGGAGAGACCCGAGAGCAGCAAATTGGCCGCGTGCTTGGACGGGTTGCACCCAGTATGCTGCTGTGCAGTCTGTCAGAATCTGTCTGCTTCTTTTTAGGTATGTTTTTTGTTTTTACCTCTGCAATGTTGCTTTAAAAAAAAATGGATAGAAGCTTTGTAAATCTTTGATGATGTTTTTGCCTTGCCACACCAGGGGCCTTGTCCACCATGCCGGCCGTGAAGGCCTTTGCTCTGTATGCTGCTTTGGCCATCCTCATGGACTTCTTCCTCCAGATCACAGCCTTTGTGGCACTTTTGTCCCTGGATGCTAGGCGCCAAGACAACAACCGGTGTGAACTGCTTTGCTGTGTTACTGTGTCAAAAGAACGTGCCAATAAACCAAATGAGGGCTTTTTGCTGCCTTTTATGAGAAAGTTCTACGCCCCCGTCTTGCTGCACAGTGTCACCAGGATCATAGTGGTAAAGTGCCTTTTAAACAACACTCTTTGACATGTTTTGTGGGGGGTTTATGTGATCGTCCATCACAAAGCAGTGCGTATTTTGAATTGGATGGACAAGGATTAATGAATGAGCTTTGATCTGAACTATCTCTATTGTAGTTTCTGCTGTATGTGCAGGGTTGGTGTCCTGCTGGATGGTGAACCTGTCCTGCTCTGATTTTACCTTGCTCTATCTTCTTATCAATGCTGACCATTTCAATTATTGCTGCTGCTGCTGCTCATCAACCTATTATCACCACAAATTAATACGTTCTGCCATAAAAAGCATATGAATGTATGTGGTTTATATGCTTACCTCTACATTTTTTTTTTGAGTCAGCCTGGGGCAACCCTGTGCAGGGTTGCAAATGTATTATAGTCTTTCTATTCTTGAACAATGCTCTCGGCAGAGCTCTGGGATTTTTTTTTTAAATAACCTGATCATGCTAAATACCCCACCCTGACCTGTCTGCAATGTTTTTCATTTTCTTCTTTGTCCTCTAATGCTCTCTGAAAAAAACTCTGTGGCCTTAGAGAAAATCGATTTAAAATCAAACAAAGGTAGCTCATTTTAATAATAAACTATACTCATTGGACGGAATTTCTATTTAGGGGTATCAAAGTGTAGGGATCTGAAAGCTAAAGCGTGCTAAAGTATAGTTGATCAGGTCACCAAGCAACTCACAGCAACCTGAGGAAACTCTGATCGATCTAGACTTATCAGATCAGCTACCGGGGCTGCAATCATGACAATATAGAACAGCATAGAGTTGAATAGATGTAGAATAGAATAGAAAATCTCTTTATTGTCCCACAATGGGGAAATTCTGCTGTTTATAGCAGCAAGAAGATTAAAGAAAAAATTGTTGCACAAATGTGGACCTTCAAAAAATATATAAGAATAACATAATAGTGAAGAGTTAAAATATAAGCAATAACATGCTGTAAAGAGTTTCAACAATAAAAAAAA